GGCGCGGCTGCGCGGGACGCTCCGCCCAGGCCTCAGGGTCCCCGGCCCCGCAGGCAAAGCGACCGTCCCCCCTCCCACTCGGTGCCCAGCAGGAGAGACGCCGCCTGCGCAAGAGCCAGCAGTTTTGAGACAGAAAAACCACAGTTCTGTTATTTATATAATTAATTAAATCGTAACTATCATGAAGCACATGTTAGGGCAATGTTTTAGATTCTTTGGATTTTAAAATTATCCCTGCACGAATGATGGATTTCTTAGAATAGTCGTTTTTTTTAATTAAGTAATGAAAAGGAAGTAAAAAAACCGCACGGAACCGTACAGATCCTTGATCAGCAGTGTCGTTACCACATAAGCTACATCACTGTCATAGCAGAAGCTGGCTGTGTCCTGCTGCGGGCTCTGTAAACCTGACCAGCTTTATTAAGAAGGGGCTGTGACAGTGAAGTTAGTTTTTTTGGGCATTAATAAAATTTGAAAGATTGCATGAAAACGTCGTGTAGGAGGCGCGCGTTTTCCATTTTCAGAAGAAGTAATTCAAGGTTTTTCGAAGGCTTTCTGTTGCCCTTTCGATGCTCATAGTCATTTATAAACGGTTCTTTTTAAATTTGATGTGATTACATTGGAAACAATATCTTCCAAACTGGTTAATTTTTCACTTGGGAAGAATTACTTAGAATTGCCACTTTCAGCACAAAAACTTATGTTCTGCACGCAAGTAACATGTTGTGTAGAACATGAAAACAGGAAATTTTCCTCTTAGTTATGTTAAGTGACTTTCATGGAGCTTAACTCCAAAACAGAAATTATTTAAAGAGATAGGATGTTGCTCTTTCCATGAATATTGCCAAGTAAAAGAGTTTAGAACAATCTTCGCTTCACACCCCATCTCGTCTCTGGGATACATCTGCAGAGGAAAACAGCCCTTGCGAATCTTTCTGGGGCCATCTCCTAGCATTTGGCAAGAACTTGAAGCTCTGCCTTTCAATCTTCTTTAACCTGCTGTTATATTGATTCCCCTAGTTTTCTAGTGAATCATTACCGTGATTAAAACTATTTTACAGTAGGTTAGATTGTGAAACCATAATCTCACTCAGCTGTTAAGAGAAATGAACTAACCAGAATTTCATTTCTCAAAGTAAATTCCATAGAACAGTTGTACCGAATGTTCTGTGGGGGAAAAATGTTCAGCGGCTTAATAAGAAACATACATTTTTTGGGGATTTGCCATCACATGTCAACTTTTTTAAGGCCATGAGAAGTCCTGTACATTTTTTTTTAAAGCAATGCATTTATTTCGTTATTCTTTATATTTGAATAAAAATTATTTTTTCCTTAGAATAAACTGGGAGGAGCACCAGGTAACACTCCTCCATGAACAATGCTTAGGGGAACATGAAGGCAGACCAGCCATCAGCAGTTTGATTGTTTTGATCATAATGACTGGATCTGTCAGCTGAATTAAGAGCTTGGATGTTAGATATACAGCAACTGGCCCAAGTGTTATTCACGATACTGGGAAAAAGATGCGTGCAGCGGGTGGTCCCAGCTCTTCATCGGCCGTGGCTGAGCCACACCATAAGAGGTTTTCATACGGACGCTGACATTATGAGAAAGGGGCTATTCTGGCACCAGGATGCATGCGACCCGACATACCATTTGCTGTGATGCACAGACATACACGTGCTGTTTCATTTGGCAGCACTGGATTTGTGCCAACCACAGGAAAAAAACTTGCTACAGAGCCCAATGAGATGGCCTTAATCATTAGACAGGGCTGTCCACGGGACAGAAGACTTTGTAACAGGTTAGGGACAAGAGGGAAGCTCCTCGGACAGGTGATCAGTCGGGAAGGCTTAGCTTCATAGCTAATAAAAAAGAATTGTCAAAAAAGTTAACACATCGCTAAAGGTGGTAAGACTTATCGCACCAGAGAGTGACTTTATGACTCAAGAACGGGGACTAGAAGATGGCACGTTACCGTATAATCCACCGGCAAACAACACCTGCTGTCGAAGGCTTTGGACGACTGGTAGCCTCGAGGGACCCTGAAGATCCGGTCAGCAAAAATCTTCCATCACAAGCTGTGGCTGTGAAAAATGGGAATTGTTAGACAAAAACAATCTTGGGAGGCTTTCCCAAATGAGATGGGGTTTAAATTGGCTAATGGACACTTCTCAGAGCGCTCATGGCTGAACCTGTGTGAGGCTATTTTACAAAACTGAAATGATCGCACGGGAGTAGATCAGATCCCATGTTTAAAATCCACTGGCTATTTTCAAATCATCTTACACACCCCATTATGGAGTCCTTTAGAAAAGCATTTTATATGCCTTAGCTGCATGTTTAGTATATTTTTTCATATTTGCAAGGGAATATATACATCTGAATTGTAAACATCCAGTTTAGAAAAGTACCTACTAATTTTTTGTCTTATTTTCCCCATTAAATTGGAGCTAAGGTGAATTTCAAATATATGCTGGAAGTGCTGTGTCGTCCTGAAATAATCAGAATATAGTCGGGCAAATGATCTGTTGATGCAAGTGGGCCCAGGAGAAGACCATCCTCTCAGCCTATTTTGCCCCATCACTCCTGCCCCTTTTGTATGGACTCGCTCTCAATATTTTCACTCAATATTTCTGAATGTCTTGCCTCCATGATTCCTCTTTTAATTCTTGTAGCACATTAGCTTCTTTTCAATGTCATGTATTACATCATCTTTAATTTATATCTGAATTATTTTCAACTGTATTAAAATCATCTTGAAAGCATGAACCAGGAGCCACACCTTATAGCTTCTTATTTTATATTTGCTATGTATAGTATGGGCCTAAAAAAAAAAAGCAACCATTTTATTTTCACAATCTTTAGTGTTTCTTAGGGTGTTTTTTTTTTTTCTATATGCTTAGTTACTTAGTTCTGTGGATACCCTATTATAAAATAATGAGTCCTAGAATGTGTTCTTTATCTCATGGTATGTTGTTAGTTCCTCATATGCCAGAGTATTGTTTTTGGTTAACGTTTAGCAATTTTTGGCATAATTTTTATAAAGCATAAAAATTACCTTGGTAAATAAATTTTTAGATTCAAAGTCTTTTGAAGAACACTGGCCTAGGAGTTGATTGCATTGGATTAGAACTTGATATTTTGGTTCCCAGATGAAGACAATAGCAAAAAATAACAAACTGAGGACAGAAAAGATAACAACCCAAGATGCAAGGCCTGCCACAGAGCTCAGGAAAGGAAATAGAGAAAACTGTGGCTTGTTGAAAGAACTAAATCTCCTTTTGTATAATCCTGGAGCAAACAAAAACGACTAAGCCTAATTTATATGACTTAAAGATAAAAAGTAAAATATGTGCCTTTTTAATGCAGCGCTTAATAGTTTTCTAGATGCAAAAGAAAATCTTCACCTTCAACTCTGTCCACCACAAATCATACCAAATAATTGGAACAATTAATCACTTTTCTTCAATGACTGTAAAACTAAGAATATTGTCTGCTTGTATTTTATGTGATATATAGAGCACTTCAAGATTATAAGCAATGCAATGCAAGACGGTCCACTGCTATTGTCAATACTTGGTATTTAATGAGGTGGAGCAATCAATCCTGCCAGCCCTAAAATATAACTGCTAGAATGTATAAAGTATTTACTATGTGCCAGCCACTGATATAAAGTCATTATATATGTATTAATGTAATCTGCACAGCGATTGCATGAAGTTCTAGGTAGAAAAACTGAGGCACAGAGGGTTAAGTAACTAGTATCAATTCTCCCAACTAGTGACAATTCACAGCCAGGCAGTCTTATTCCTGAGCATATTGTACTAGATTGCCTGGTGCCCTAAAATATAGTTGTCACGATGCCATCACCTACTTCCTGAGCTGAAAAGCAGGGAGTAAGTTGTAAATGAAAGAAACAGGGAATTACAAAGAATTCCATGTCTTTGCGACAAACAAAATAGGGCCAGGGATACATGGAACTGAGTGACAGAGCTCAGAGCGGAAGGGGAGTGGGAGGACGAGAAGAGATTAGCCAACGAACATATATGATAGCCCATGGACACACACAACAATGTGGTGAAGGTGGGGGGCGGGCACAGGGGCTGGGTGGAGGGGGCAGGAGGGCAATAATCGGGGACATCTGTACTAGTGTCAACAATAAAAAAGAAATTCCACCTCTTTCGGTGTTCTTAAAACTAAAATATTGCAATAGCAATCCAAGACAAACAGGAGGAATTAAAAAAAAAAAAAGTATACAAGGGACCAGAACAAGAGCAATTTAAGAACTTGTCAAACCTATTTGCATAGCAGGTAGGTATTAGTAATTCTTTGTATCCATTCACTAGAAATAGTTCGGGAAAGAATCAACAGCTTTGTGTCTCACGACGGGATTCCTAAGTTTCCAAAAAAGCTGAGTTATGTCCCTGGAGGCAGAGGTTGTCCCATGCTGGCTCCCCCCTTTTCCAGTCGCTTCCTAGGCCCACGACTGAGCTGCCCCTCCCACATGGGTTCGCGGGACTGAGCCTGGGCAGTAAAGTGCTGTGGAAACGGTTCTGTTTATTCTCCTTTGTCCATCAGCAGGTTGCAGAGACCTCCGGGAGGACCTGGGACAGAGGGATGGTGGAGGAACTGACCTCCCGAAAGCCTGCAGAAGAGCACAACCCGCTGCCACCTTTCTGGGACTTGATGTAAATCATAAATAAATTATTTTCTGAAATGGCTGAGCTTGTCTATCACCATATTTAGCCTACCTGAAGACTCTGATCAGTTTGACTGTCCCATGTTCTATGAAAGTGCTGAGTTTTAGTGGGAAGGAGTAACCTAGAGGTTGAGTTCTGCTCGTAAGGGCCTGTGGTGAATTCCCGCAGGCAAGTAAAGATCAAGGACTACTCCTGAAGGTATTTAAAATGAAATGACAATAGGATTAAACTACTTGCAATAGCAAAGGTCATAATGTCAAAATATTATTTCAAGATAGAGGTTTGTGCTAGGGACTTTCTTATATATTCTCTCAGTTAATTTCCAGATGTTTCTGGAGAAACTAATTTTACTTAAGGCAATGAAGCAAGATAACCTTTTGGGAAAACGGATATAACACAGCCGTGACTGAGCAGGATAAGTGGGTACTCAGGGTTACAACTTAGTAGGCTGCAAAGTGCTTTCGAGTGCAGTGTCAGAAAAACTTCTGAGTGGGAGGTGAATGAGCCTGCCGAATCCTACCACCCATCCCACGGCGCTATACTAGGTGCCTGTGATGGGACGGGATTTACAAGGGTGCGCCCGTGGGACCCGCTGGGCGCTCCCTCTGCCCTTCAGTGTCACTAATTGTGGCTTTGCCAGGCCACTGAACTCGCCAGGACGTTCAAACCAAACTCGGGACGGGATCTCTGCCCCTGCGCCCAGGGCTGTTGCGCACACACCCAGCGGCGTGCCAACCATGTGTGGGGACGCTGGCCAGCTCCCAGATCGGCCTGAGCACTGGCCCAAGGGCTGTGAGTCAGCATCTTTCCTTCTCACAGGTCAGCTAAAAAGTGAACTTTCCTGCTGATGCAATTCTAATCAGAAGGGAAAAACAATTTACAGAAATCTTGGCTCAGCTATAGTCAGCTATAAGTTGTGCAAACCCAAATAACTAAAGACAAAGAGGAAGCCCTGTGAGGAAGCCAACATTAATGTGACTCTGTTCATAACGTAACCTAGAATTAGAGCTCACAGCTGGAGGAAAAAAGAAATATAGGGAGAGCGCAGGTCAGTTTCCTAGAGGAAGAATTCCCTTATATTGCTGTGACTGTAGGTGGGTGGACAAGGGCTTTCAGGCAGAAATGCTACTCGATTTGAGGCTGAGGTGAAATTAATGTGTTTTGGGTTCTGCCACGAATGATTAAATGATAAACAAAACAATTTGTAAGCCTGAATTTTAGCTGGATTAGTATAGAGGAATTGATTTGTCCAATTCCTTACCCACAAACTCTTTATATTTATTTTCCAAAATAGATACAATACTAATTTTAAACTACAAATCATGAGAAGAATCAAAAAAAAGAGAAAATGGGAATCTAGGGGATTAAGAAAGTGACATGGATGTTGAATTGTTACTAAAGTTCAAGTAACACAAAATCTCGGAGACACTGAGAAGGAATAATGTACTTTGATTGTCCTGAACACAAATGTTCAGTTCTAACATTGAGGCTCATATCATGAGTTTATAGGGGCTCAGAAAAATAATTCATGGCTTTATCACTCATTTTAGGATGAGTGGTCACACTTACAAGGTATGTCTATGGTGATTTGTTTTTTTATGCACTGAAATTGATTTATCATGAAAATTATTAACTCCATGACAGCAAAGACCAAATTATAGGTGTGGTTCATTTTCTGATTATATACATCCACCCCTCCTCCATTTAAATTTATTAATCATCATTCTACAAGCTTAGAGCTGTATGTCCCACTTTATGTACACTACTGTTTTTGAAACATAAATCAACATCACCTGTGTTGCCTCATGATGGCACACTTGTATTATATTCTCCCTGAAAAGGCTTTGGAAACTGCCGGAAAACCATAGCAAAGAAGAATGCTTCTCTCTTCTTCTTTGAGTAACTTAGTTACATAAAATAGATTAAAAAATATTCTGCAGCCTGCACTTTCTTCCAGTATGCTCGGAGTGCACTTCAAAGTACGTAGTTAAACTTTGAAGGCTTGAATTTTATCCAAGAACATTTGAATTAGGATTTCTTAGTAGAAGCCTCTTTGGTCCCATTGCCTTTTTGTTTTTGAGTTGATGATGAGAAACAGATCGACCCCCTGTCTTTTAAAGTATCAAGTGGATAGGTAACTTTTAAAACATTGATTGTTATTGGAGTGTTNGTTTTTGAGTTGATGATGAGAAACAGATCGACCCCCTGTCTTTTAACGTATCAAGTGGATAGGTAACTTTTAAAACATTGATTGTTATTGGAGTGTTCGTCTCCAATTAATATCAAGCAAGAAGAGCAAAGTGAAACACATAATAGAAGAGCAAAGTGTAGTAAACAGCAGCTACACCTTTACACCTTCAGCAACTCCTTGTGCTCATGATCAATGTTAACACGGATCACGAATAAAACATTATTCAATTCATGCTGGCTGTTTAGTTTTTCAAAAACCAATTATAAGTTAGAATTATTCAAATAGGTCTTCACGTTGCTTTTCAATCTATATCTATACTTACGTGGTCGTCTTTCATGTATGTGTTACTCAGCTATACAGTGAAATAAGTCAAAGAGTAAATATGTTTAAATCACTTGAGGCCCTGCTTGGCATATGGTAAGTACTACTTCAGTGCTAATTAATAATAATAACAGTATTATTATTAACAAATGTACAAATAAAACATAGATGTTTTATTCATGAGACATTAAGATCTTACTCAAAACATTTCCATTATTCACAGATCTACAGCTTAAGTACACTTTTCGTCTATTTGTTGTTTCTGTGCCAAAAGGCAAATAAAAGCAACAGTCAAAATTTAAGAAACGGCAATCACTGGCTTAGGAACTGTTAAAATGGAAAACAAAGGCTGACGTTATGATGGCCAGAAAAGATGGAAAAGTGTTCAAATTCATAATAATTACTTTGCAAAAGTGGAACAGGGATCAAAAACAACGCCACTCTCTTCCCCCGTTTATGACAGGCATTGCTAAGCACAGCATCCTTTCCTTCGTCATCAAATGAATTCTGTTCACGCAGTTAATTTTAATATTGGGTAAAATAACATTTAGGAAAATATTAACATAATTATTTTTTAGATTTTGTGTTAAATTATAATCATGGCTATCAGGGTATCTTACTCTCCAGCGGTTTCTGGCATCTGAGGGGTGTGTGTGTGCACGTGTGTGTGTGTGTGTGTGTGTGTGCATGTGTGCACACAGTCAGGGTCTGTGTGTATATACATGGTCTGCAGTACACGTGGTCTAGGCCTATGTATTGTGGGCGAGGAAGGGGTGCTAGCGCAAGTTACCTCACAAGGTGACCGGCTCATAAATTCCTAACTGGGCAGGTCTCGGCGGGTGGCAGTCACGCCTGGCACAGAACTTCTTTAGGAAAAGGCTCCCCTTCGCCTTAAGCAAGCCCTGCCCACTGCTGCGGGGCATCTAGGTTAGCTCACCTTTGAAAGGCCCCCTTTGGGACCCCTCTTTCAAAGCCCTCCTTCTGAAATGTGAGAGCACAGGATTGTGACTAGCCTGTAATCTGATGCCGTTTGCTTTCTCCCACCCTCATGTCATCTTGCTTATGTCCCTCCTTAATTTCAAATGCATCAAAGACGCTGCAAAACTGTCATTCCCCAGAGCATTCGGGATCTTGCTCCCCAGCATATGTTGTCAATTTGGCTCAGATAAACTCCTATAAAAATTCCCCCCAGGTTTGGACATTTCTAACCTCGACAGTATATACATGGTCTATATAAAGTAAGGGAGGAAGAAAGTAGGGAGGGAACATTACTTACCACATGTTTTATTGTCTTCATCAGAACCATCTGGACAGTTTAATTCTCCATCACAAAATAAATCAATTGCGATACATTTTACAGCATCAGCACAAGGCCTTGAACCAGGCAGGCACTCCACTGAGACATTTCCTTTAGAAAAAGAGACTGAGCTTGTAAGTTTACTGCATACTAGATTTAATTTCTTACCGTATGTATGATGTTTGGATATTTATTACATATTTTTGTCATTTAGGTTCTTACTTATAAGCACGTATTTCAATTTCCACTATAAATATTTATTGTTTAATAAATCAATCATTTATAAAAATTTAGAATTTTACATTTTGAAAAAATTTCTTAATAGATGTTAGATATGAATGTTTGCTTTGTTGATTTTAACCTTGATAAATCAGTACTTCTGGTTTAACATTTGGGCCCTAATGTTTACCCCTCCTAGGACTGTTCTATATGTTATATGGGACACTTTATTGGAATCTTTTTCACACCACCTGCATTCTTAGTAATCACTTCATTTACTTATAAACATATTTTTTGAAAATATTGTGGCTGAAGTCAAGGTTTGCATTCTGCAGAGCAAAATTTGTCCACAAAAGCCATTTTATAGTAAAATAAAACACTTAAAATTCCCAGCACAGTGTTATATTGAGCAGTGGGAAAACCTAATGACTATTTCCTTCAATATCGGTTTGCTTCTTGGGTCAGGGGTTCTTAACAGGAAAGACATGCCCTGAAGAGTTCTATGCCACTCCCTTGCAAGATCTGATCAATGTGCACCTCTCAGCCTGTCCTGTCCTTCACCTGCTCCTCTCCATATACCTAGGTATACAGATGCACCAAGAAACACATTTGACTTCCAGCAATTAACTTGGAAATTTTAGGTGCAATTCTAAAAATGATGTATTGTTTTATGCTCACTGAAGACATATGTTTTTATTTTTCAGAGCAATGTGATAATTTGAATATTTTTGTCTATGATTAGAATAACAATTATGGTTTGATGTTTTTGAAAAATCTTTAAGCTCAATAGCATTTTTTTGCTATTGTTCTAAATCTTAAAACCAGCACTGCACTGCCATCTGCTGGGCTTTAAAAACATATTTTACTCTGAAATTTCTCCTATGGTCCCATGAAATTAATTTTGAAAATAAAAGTGCTTATGTCAGTGAATCTACTAAAGTAATACTTGATTTGGAACATTTATGGACGGGGTTGCTAGTATATATACAACTAAATTAGATTTTGTAATTAGCTCCAATTTAAAAAGACATAAACATTGGGAAATTCATGGATCACCTAACATCTAAAAATCAAACAGCATAAATAAATATCAGAGCTGTTCCCAAATAATAGAATACCCCCAGTTAAGACAATAAAAAAGAATGATAAAAATGATATTGAATAAACCCAAATGCATACTGTAACTGTTGATATCTATGAAATAATCATCAAGAGTGTCCTTAATTACTGAGTCCCTGACTCATGAAAGGCAGAGTGTCAATAGTATTCCATAAATGCTTGATAAACAAATAACAAAAAAGCTTATTCTAGACACTCTGTGTCTCATTTTAACAGTAGTTAATAGAATTTTAGCTATTCAGCATTTGCAAGAATAGATTTTGGAATGTAGCTAGGGAGATACATACTCCTGTCTGCTCTAACACTTCCCCTGGGAGCTTCCCTTCCTGAAGCTCCATCTCTCTCTGTTGTCTATTAAACTCTGTAGAGCCAACCTCAAAACCACATGGGCAAGAGATGCCACTTGGGATTCTTTGATGCCATTAATGATTATTCACTCACTCTTAAGTATTTATTGTCTATTTATTTAACAAATTTTTAAGGAATGGAGGTAAAAAGAGGAGTAAAACGGAGGCGCTAGTCTCATAGAGCTTGGAGTTTAGTGAGAGGCTGGGCCATTAGCTAATTAGTTTTTAAAAGACATATATGAAAGAGTATTATGGGGACACCCAGGATTAGGCAATCTGTTTCCTTTTGAGGCAGAGATTGTAAACATCTTTACATAAACTAGGTTTTGAAGGATGCTTAGAAATGTACCAAGAAGAGGGGTATACATAGAGTGTGTACGTGGTGTGACAGGCACACGTCAATATATGGAAAACAGGTAAATCTAACTTTTCTGGATGGTAGGATGTTTGTGAAAGTCATGGAAGGCAGGGCATGGGGTGCCAAATTCTAGGGGACTTATTTTGTCATTGTAAAATGTTAGAAATATTTTTTTAGTAGGCAATAACATGGGAAGTTTTTAAATATGTGTGTGATATGACCAGTCTATGTTTCAATAGCACAGTTCTGGAACCAGGTGGAGAATCACGCGGACAGAGGCGACCTAGAGAAGCTGTTACAACGGTCAAGGTGAAAGCTGATGAGGGCTGGATCTCTTGCACTAGCAGAGGAGATGGGGTGTGGACTCACTTGCTATTTTACAAGTAAAATTGGTGAGCTTTAGTACCCATTTGTGCTCCTGGCCAAAGAGAGGTGGAGAAGAGGGTGCTAAGAATGATACCTACACTTTTGGAGTGGCCAGTTAATTACTAACGGTCATTAGTGACAACAGTGATCATAAGAGGGACGGCTGGTGGGTTTGGAAAATGACTCTAAGTTGAAGTATTTTGATTTGAAAGTGTAAATATTAGGAACTCTAGCTTATTTTGTACTCTATTTCCCTACACTCTGCTTCGTAGACACTTTTCATCTGTCTTGGTCAACGAACAAAGAGAAGTTCCTCATATTAAAACCAATATGGAAAATATAATTGTTATAGAAGGGTAGTACATTTTAGGATTTTATCAGATTGTATTTTTACCTCTTTTTACGTTCATATATATGATGGCAATTTCCAACAAAACTATTGGTTAAAACATTAACTGTTTCAGAAATTAGCCAGATGCCAGTTTTTGTTTTTTTAAAAATGATTTTCCATTCTTAAAACTAGAGTTCTTTGGCTTCTCACCTACTTTATTTGCGACTTAATTCCTTAATTTTTGGCCTTGTTTTTATCTTTTTCTGAGTCTGCATTGTACTTCTCAATAGGAAATTTTTAAGAAAGGAGTTAAATAAATGTATTTTAGGAGAATATTAACCTGGTTCTGTTTATTAGAAACTGGTCAAATTGCTTGAATATTAATTACTGTTATCTGGAGTGGGGAAAAGCCTGCACACACACACATGTATATGGTATTTTATCTTCAAGATATTAATTTTCTGGCATACTATAAAACCCATAAATAAATTAGTATTAACTAGAGTTCTGCAAATGAAAAGTTTTAATTATCCATTTATATTTGTATCATGAAAGATTCAGCATAAACTCAATGTAATTACTTCAGCGTGCTTGCAAAGTCACAGTAATTTCTGGTGATTTGGGGTGAGACCCTCTCGTGCCTACTTGGACAGGTCCTCAGCCTACCACGTGAAGGAAGAGGTGGGGAGGGGTGGAAGGGGTCAACGGGCGGGAAGGGGGACAGCTGTAATACTTTCAACAATGAAGATAAATTAAAAAAATATAATAGCAATAAAATTTTTTTAAAAGTCTGAAATCCATTTTTTTCTTCCAAACCAGTTATTAAAAAGTGTTACATGTAAGATAATAATTTGAAAATCATATTTTAGAAATCTTAGCTTTTTATTTACCCTATCTGTTAAATGGGAGTAATAATACTTATCAGCCAAGAGATGCTGTTTGAGACAAATTGAGCCCACGAGCCTTATAGCTTATTTAGTAGTGGAAGTAGAATCTGAATCTAAGAATGCCTGCCTTTAGAGAACAAGTTCATTTCACTAAACTATATTGGAAAAATAGATATCACCTTACAGAAATTCTCATCTACTTCGATAGAACAAATTTAATCTTTTTAACAAGACTAGGGCTGGTCAATCCAAATGAGATTACAGTGGGAAGATACGTTAACAGTTCTGATATCATGTGCATAGAAGTATCTTGCGTGCTTAGCAATATATTCATGTTGTTCTCTTAAATGTAGAGAAAGAAACACTTAAAGTCATAATGGATTTGGTGTCAGAAAAAGTCCCTGTGTTTATAGTCCTGGGGCAACTCAGTTGAGGAACAATTCTACCTTTGCTTCTCTTGACCCAATTTCATGTTCTTCATTAAATCAGCCAGTTATTTTCCTTCAATCCCCAAACCCTTCCACATAGTGGAATTGTAGCAAGATTGCATTTTTGTATGAGACTGAGAAAGCCCATGATAGTGAAACTGTTTTTCTGCAGCCATTGCCTACACAGTAAATAACAGGCTGTATGCTACAAACCCTCCCAGCGTTTGAACACTTGCCCAAAGCGACCCCTCCAGGTGCTCTTTAGCAGCCAAGAAATCAATCAGTGTAAAGCAACTTTAGCTCTCATTTCTCTCTTCTAGTGTTCCAAATGGGTTAGTAAAACTTTATGGTAATTGGCAACAAAGACAGTTGAACAACAGGAACACAGTCCTCATGGACTTTGTACCTGCTATCCTACAAAAATTTTCTTTGGCAGAATTTATAATAGTATTAATGCCAGGTATATGATGCATGCATTTGTTGATTTTTCTCAAACACTGTCTTCCGGGCATATAAAAATGAGAATAAACCTAACATCCTTGAGAAGCATATTCATAATAAGTTATGACTTGGAAAATGCGGTTTTCAAGTTTAATTGCCTCGTTCCCCTCTATAAATCTATAGTATCTTGCCGGCTGAGAGGGATAAATGGGAAATACGATTTGGGACTCATGGATCCAGTAAAAGAGGGAACGTGATATTTTGCCACCTACTTACCTTATTATAATTCTTTAAGGATTGATTAAGGAAATTCAACACAGTCTGCAATAACAGGAAGCTTCAGAAATGGAGTTTTTTGGTCAAATAAATGATCAGATTAAAATGAGCATTACTGAGTACGATCATCTTGTTTTAACCTTAGTTTAGTTTTTGAAAAATTCTTTTTAAAAAACATACCCAACTGCATTTTTAAAGAAGGGAGAAGGGATGTAATATTGGTTGTGCCCCTCCTTTACGCTAGTCTTGAATTGAGGCAGTACTGTGGTATCTGTATTATCTCCCTTAATTCTCACGAACACATGCTAAGACATGTATTTTAATTATCTTTCAGACAACAAATATAAAGTTTAAAAAGATGAGGTGACACATATAGAGCAATAGGTGAAATTAGTTAATGGTGGGTTCAATGATTGAGAATTGTATGTTACTTTTTGGTTTTCCTTTTGATTAACAACCATTTCACGTGTGAAAGCTACGACTAAATGTATGCTGATCCCATCCCCATGGTTTTCTTGTAGGAAAGGAGATTTCTGTTTCACTCCCCAGGAGAGAAAAGAATGGGCAGAGTATTACCCTATGTTCTGTGCCCCGTTCATCATTTCCTCTGGACGGAGGAAACTGGGCATATGGTTCAGGCACATCTTATGTTTTTGGTGGGTAGGTCTTCAGATGACTAAGGGGGAAAACTTGTTTTAAGTCCCTAGGATTTCTTGCTTTGACATTGATTTTTCTCCCGTAAGTTGTTCCGCATATTTCTCTTAGGACGTTTTATATACTTACGGGGTCCTCAATAACTGTGGGTTATATGAATCACTCAATGAATTAATACACTGACTAATAGAAAACAGAGCATTAACTTGAATATTTGCTATGGATTTGCAAAGTTTTGAAAATAAATTAATCAAAATATATTCAATTGTTTTTTCAGTTTACTTTTAGGCTAAACAAATTAGCCTTTATCAATCCTATGGCCGTTTTTTTGCAAGTGTGTTGAAAGGTGATTTAAGATGCCATAGTCTTCGACATTGGAGAAGGGACTATGAGCTGAGAAACAGCTTTATTTTTCTGTATGTTGTGCAGCTGTATGAATGGCAGCTAAGTACAACACCAGGCAGGCTTATTCTGCCATAAAAGAGCTCTATAGGTTTGGAGGTATAATAGTTTATTTCACAAAGCATTTTAATAATTTATGTATCACTTTGCTTTTCAAACATCACACCAACCATTTTATACAAGAATAATTCAGTCTTACTCAGAAGAGTATTTACACAGAAATGTCCTCTCCTTGTGTTATATAATAGTTGATATAAATTTTAATAACACAAAAGTGGCCTTATTATCTTAGGAGCTGAAGATCTATGCAATATAGCTTGTACAGAGTTTACCTGAAGAGATCATGGACACATGTAGGCCATTCAACATGACGGTTAAGATTAGAAAAGGCACTTTAGTTAACAGATAGGACAGTAGATAATTACTAGAAATTCAGATAAGTTGTCACATCAAAGATACATACTAGGAGTTGGCACAAAGTAGACACTTAATGAAACATTGTTGAATGAGTGAATCCAAGGCTAGCTTTGGTACAACCAGTACCAGTGTTAGGAGGTGTGAAAATAAATTTTAAAAATTTCATTTAAAATGAACTCAGAAAGCCCTGCAGGAGGAGCTCTCGCACACACAACCACTCACTATACCTTGCAGATTTTAGCAGGAGGAAGATTCTCTCCTTGCCTAGCAACAGCCCACCCAACAATAAACCACCACGACTCAGCCAATGGGAAGCCACTACACTTCAAACTCCTGTGTCTTCCAATGGCATCTTGTTTTTAATAGCCCCTCCCAGCTCCCCCCTTTCTCTATAAAGTAGCATTCTCTTGATTTTGCCATAGCTTATATGTCCCAAATTGCAATTCCTGAGTAGACCTATTTTGTGTAAAAATAACTGGCTGTTTTATTTTTAAAGTTAACAGAGGAAGAGCAAGCATGTCTCACTTGCATGCAGAGAGACTAATCAAAGAAAAAAAAAAAAATCCCCCCATCTGATGAAACCATTGGTGGCAATCTTAGCAGTGGATAACCACAGTTATCATAGAGGACTGGAGCGAAGTCAGGTAATCCAGGCATTAGCCCAAAATAAATTGTTAACTTCTGGTAAAATCTTAAGCTAAAACTGCACATTTTTAAGCTCTAGTTTTCTTATCTATAAAACAAAGGGAATATTAACTGTTGTGTTATCAGAGAATTCTCAGAAGCTTAAAATGAAACATTAGTGAAAACTTTTTTTAAATGAAAGAAATAATATTATTAAAACTGACCTGTGGTTGCCAGAGGACTGTTGGTTGTTAGCCTGCCTATAAAAATAAATGACATTAAAACAACAATTACATTTTAAACTGATTATTAGTTATTGATTGTATATTCTTCCTGTTTAACATTCAACTTGATAGTTTTTAAATTTACTGTGAATTATGAGTGTGTATTAACTTAAGAATATATCATTTGTATCTGGATCTAAGAATAAACCTTTTGTTTTCACTGATCTTTAGAATTGTAGAGTGGAGGTATTTAGATTTTTAAGTCATCTTTTATTTTGTAAGTAAAGAAGATGTTTTTAAATTTTCAATAATAACTAGGATTCATTGATTTTGTAATGGCTGTAGATTTAAATGTTCTAGGTTAACCTGAGGTCATTTGAACTAGAAGCTTGGGATATGCTTAGAGAATTGGCTTCAGAGTCCAAAGGAATTGCTTTAAATCCCTGAGTTTGACACTTTAATAGCCGTGTGACTCTTTTTAAGTGGAAAAAGTATTACCTCTGTACAGGGTCATTTTGAGAATTAAATGAAGTACTATTTATAAAATATAGTACCTGGTCCAAGTAGATACTTAAAAAATAAATAGAGCTTTCAAATATTATAAAAATGGTCATGACTATAGAGAATACCAAGAGGAATATCTTTATGGTTTTATAATAAGTTTCACTTTAAAAATCATTTATATATAAATTTGATATTTGCAATGACCTTTGAAGTATTCAGAAAAATTGTATTAGTTATGATTTATGAGAAACAGGTTTTCAGAGGGGTAAAGAGATATAGACACTCACACCCATACACGTGTACATATGTATATAGAGCTTAAAATATGAGATTGGAAATGAATATCCTTGGCAGATATAGGTAGGCATTATGAAATCTGCCGTATTATAAACGACATTATTTCTTACCAAATGTATGCTTCTTACATTTTAATATAAAGACTAAATGTCTCAGAAAGAGCTACTAAAAAAAAAAAAAAAAAAAAAAAGAACGCTTCCATAATGTCATGGAGTTTGATGGTCACCAAGATAGTTTTTAAAATGTCACAGTACTGACCTGAAGTTGTTGCAGGGCTCACCGTAGGGAAATCCTCCGAAGATGCTATAATAAAGTAAAATTGATTTAAAGCTTGGATTTATAATATGCATATATTACAAAACATTGAGTGCAGTTGGGATATTCATTCAAAGGGCACCCGATTCTTCAGAGTTCTGTCTTATCTTACCTCATGCTAAATGTTGCTAATATTATTTGATTGTGATACATTTGATGGATCTCCAGAATCTGTATATTCTCTCTAAAAAATTTGCCTATGCAAAAAGTTTGCTTTATTTTAATCACTGAATAAAAATATGTATTTATTCATCATAGTTATATAGAATAATTTATATTTAAGGTAACTAATATAACATTGTACACCAGATCTTGTCAGACCTAGAACCAATGATGTTGCACTGAAACTTATGGAAGCCTTCAAAACAATCTTGCACCTAATGTCTGCTGGGAACTAAGTCCTGTCTAAGTATGGAGTGCTTTTCACATAAAAAATAGCTTTTTTTTTTTCACCCTTTAACATGTTTAATAGTTTTAAAAATATATGGGTTTTTCTTTTCTTTTTTTTGCATGACAAATTTATGACAACAATGTAAGATATAAAAGGAACCAAAGCACATCTTATGAAAATCCTTCACCTAGTGAATTTGTTTTTATTCAACATTGTATTTATGGTGAGTTAAGTGAACATTCTCTTCTACTAACTAGGGTTTTTATTACAATATTTCTTCATTTCTGCCTTGTCTTGCTTCTACAATGATATGTGGTAGATTACTGCTGAGGAAGATGATACGATTTAGACCATGTTTCCACAAAGGAGATATTTTAATTTCCATTATATTTAATTATACAGTATGCTATGTAAAAATTCATAGCATTTGTAAAATTCTTAACCAATTTAAAAAATGTAATAAATTGGAAAATTCACATGATACAAGTGCGTATTAAACTTAAATATCTAAAAGTAAGCTTGGTATCATGCTTATAAAATTTATTAGCATAGTTTAACAAATGACATGTAACTTCAAGAGCATATCCTTGAGTTGATGTTGTGATATAGTTGATTGCATTCATGGTACTCATTCTAAGCTCAAACGATGTGGTTTTATTGAATAAATAAATATATTTAAAAACCACAAACTTCCCTCCCTCAAATAGCCCAACTTCAAGGAGTCATGAAAGTAAGCTTTAACACACCTGCCAGTTCATTTGCCATAGCAGACCTACAAAAACTGATGCCCATTCAAATAAAGACAGTAAGAAATCATCTTTCTAAAAGAAAATTGACTATTGAAAAAATCAGTCAACATTGTCAAAATGTAAAAAATCAGTCAAAGATAAAACCATTACAGACAAATTCTAATTTAATGGTTAAGAGCACAGATATTAGGGTCCAATCACCTGGGTCAGAAACCTTGATCCAATTCTAAATAGCTGTGTGATTTAAGTCAATTTACCAAAATTATCTATGTTAGTCTGCTCTGCAAAATGGGCATAGTGAACACATCATGTAATAAGATCAATATGAAGAGTAATTGTGTTGATAGGTAACGTATCTGTTCTAGCTAATAATAGTAGCAGTTTTCAGCACATCTATATCAGACAAAGATGTGGAACAGTCTTTGCTCCAGCAGGGGTGCCCCAGGGTACCAATCCCTCAGTAGAGATGCACTAAAAACATTAGCTGTCTTCTCACTGAACAGGTACCACAGGATGTATCAGGAGACTTAATGAAAGAGGAAACTGTTTGATGAACCAATGTTGTAAGGGAAAGCAAGCTCCACAATTTCAATTACAAAACTTAAATGAAAACAAAACAGAACAAAATAAAAAATTCTACATGGTTTTTTTATATTTGATTCAGGGGCAAACCTATATTGATTGATCTCATTCTGTAGCAAAACTGTTTTAACTGACATTAGGCTATTTGGAGTTTGCTTTTAGTCTACTTGCTGTGGATATTTGTAGGTTAATTAGCTTTCTTACATCCTCAAATTTCTGAATTACAGAACATAATTGGCCCCAAGGTTTACACATAAGGGACTGTGGACCTGGATGGGCCTGGGTGATTTTTATTGCTCTCAACCACAGTGTAATGCTTGTTGAATTGAATGGGGGGTGTCTAGAATGAAACAATTAGAATAAGCATTGATAGACATATAGTCTGCTATTATTTTTAACTTTTTCACCTCTGACTTGTTACCTTAAAATTATTTGTCATTTTGAAAATAAAGTTTTCTAATTATATAAATAAGTAACTAGGATGAATGAAACTCATTGACCTCTCATGTTTCTTGCTCTCTTTCTATTAAGTTCTCAATTTGAAACTGGACTTCCCACTTGACTTTGTCATCTAATAATGTCTATGACTCAGAAACTAGAGTGTCACTTTCTGATGAAGGGTTTCTAGAAATTTGGGGTGTGCTGGACTAATGCCAAGAATGTGATGAGACCCACAAACATTTATGCATGCCAATATTTTTAAAACCTTTTTGATATTTGATATTTTATAAACTTTCCCTCACTGTTGTATTTCTTCAAACATGGTTTCTCCGTATTTCACGTTTCTCAAAAAAATGTGTTACCTCAAGCAATAAGGCATGTTCCTGAAGTCAAGGGTGATCCCATTGCTTCCTGGTATATCACTAGAATTTTAATTTCATAGCTTAATGATTCAAAGAAATCAAATAATGTTCACAGATACCTGTGATATTAATGCTGCTCAAATCAATATGGAAGTTGACCAGTTGGCTGGATTTATTTGCTTCAATGCCTCGAATCAGTTCTTCTTTTACATTTGCATCTGACACCCATTGGCCAAAGAAAAGGTCAAATAGGACTAAAACGGTGCCATTTCTGCAAAGCAAAAGGTGACATAAGAGGAAAGAGTCAGCCTTCTTCCAATGATTTGTGCTCAATTCACATAGGGTGTTTTTAAAATTCTCTGCAGTTGTTGCCTGTCACTTCTCATTACACCTGTGCAAGGTAGGCAATATCAAATATCATCTGTATTTTACAGATGGAAAATAAAAACTTTAAAAGACTAAATGTTATTTCCCCCCTCTCCCACCATGAACACAAGACAGGTCCAGAATTGGAGTCTGGGTTGTCTGAGTTCCACGTTAGCACACAAATTTCCAGGCCAGGCTGTTCCCCAGTCACTTGTGTCAAATTAAACCCAATCAAGTGGTTTCATGACATTTGCTCTTATTTTACTGGTTGAAGGAATGAGGAATGTGGATTTGTGATTTCTCACAGATAAGTTCTAAGTAGAGAAAAGTCTAAGGTAGTTTCACTGATTTCAGAGAAAATTTTCCTGTACAGTTTGTGAAGACCTGATAGCAAACTTATAATAACAAATTTATATCTACATTTCCTCTATTCTTAATAAAACAAAAATCCAAATATGCTCTATTTTAAGGGATCTAAAGAAGACAAGCATACCTGGATTATTGGAGATTAACAGGATGGTCATTCTTATTGTCCAGGATCAGGATTTATCTTGTCTACACCACCTCAGACCATCACGTTAGAGTTCAATTCTATAGCCTGAGTCACCTTCGTTTTTATTTTATTTCCTGCTCCCCAGCATGCACTTAAAAAGTTTTATTCACTGGTTATTTATTTACAGTTTAAAGAAACAAAAAAAATGGATACATTTTTGGCCCAATGAAGATACATGAGAGATGTTTTTCCTCTCCTGCCTACCTTTCTATTTCCCTCACGCTATGCTTTCAAGATACAACCACTTGGGAGACAAACTTTAGCTCTGATTCTGTAGCTCTCAGGAAACTGGGGGATACTCAGGGTAAACTGGGAACCTTAAGAGCTAGACTAAGAAGAACCAAATTTTGCGTGATAGCTTTACTACTTCCAAAATTTAGGCAGTTATGCTCATATCCTTACGATATCTATGAGTTAATGATCTTCTTGAAGGATTTCATCAACTCCAGAAGAGTTCTTTGTGTATCTGTCCTTATATCTATCTTGGTAGAACTTAGAATAAATGTTGTTTTTTCCCTCCATGACTATATACAGCATCAAAAGATCCTAGTAGATCATCATCTCCACTTGGGAGTATATTCCTTCTTAATGCCTGAGCTACTGTTCAGGATCATAGTTTAACAGAAATGATTCCTTTCTATGTAGTTGTTTCTCCATTTCTGAAGTAAATGAGATTCTCTGATACAACAATTACACATTTCTCCTCTACTGAATAATTTAAAAGTCTTACAATGTTCAGCTTCCCAATTATTTGCTTAAATCATAGTAACCAAATCTTGCAAGCAACAGAGCTCCTTAGTAACTATTTAGTTCAGGGTTCCCCAAACTTACCCATACTTGAAATCACACGCTGTCCTTGATAAAGATACATTTTGTCACACACACTATTTTTATCTACTCTTCCACACTTGTTAATTTTTCCATACTGGCAATCCCTGATTTTATTTGAGAATAGCTCTGCATTTTCTCATAAAAGGTGATGACATGTCAATGACAGTTTTATTCATGGACATATGACCAGACCCTGGTCAATGGAATGTGAGGGGACGATGGTGGGAGACACCTGGAAAACTTTTTCATGTCTAATAAATAGTGGTTTATAGTGGACTATTGCTCCTATTTGTTGACACTATTATGTCTGCATGTGATTGCTGGAACTGCCACATCCCTCTTGGTACCACGAGGCAAGTTATGGTTGGCAAACTGATTATAGCAAAATAAAAAAGGAGAACACCTCAATTATCGATTATGTTACTGTGATTGTGCATCTGAATTAACCTCCGGTGAAACCTTCAGATTTCTTGTGATGTCCGAGGAGAAACACTCATTGTTTAAGGCACTTTTAGTTATGTGTTCCGTTCACTGCAATTTATCCTAACTGCCATGCCCCTCTCAGGCCTCACCGCTTACGCATTTAAACAGAAGCTCCAGAAAAGGAAGGTTACTCTATTTTTGCACCTGATGTTGGTCCAATTAACATTTCAGCAACGAGGAGACTGAGGCTCAGAGTAATGTAGGCAGCTTTGCCTGGCCTTATACAGCTTATTAGTGTCAGGGACCCAGGGGCAGATGTGTCCCAGATGTGGTTTTATACAGTTTTCATCCCCACTCCCAGCACCGCCCCTGTTGATACCGTTATGAACTATTCGTGAAGGAGAGACGATGCAAACACATTTACCTGGATGCACATTTACAGTTATCTTGCATTTTTACCAGAGCTTTATAACCAAATAGATCAGGAAAACAGCTAGCTGTATTTGGGGTGGGGGTGGGGTTGGGAAATAGGTACTTCATAACCTCCACACTTCCAGGAGATAGAATCTCCCCTCTTCTCTCTTCCTCCCTCTCCCAGCCCCTTCCCTTCTCTCTTTCTCCCTTTTCTTCTGTCTCCCTCCCCACCCTCACCCCTCAGATAGTCAGGCAGACAGGATTAAATACGGTTAACAGAAAGTGAGAGTGAGCAAACCCGCTAATTTTTCTGCCTTTAATTCCACACCATCTCCTTCCCCTTGGTTGCACAGGAGTTTTAATTTAGACTAAATCTGAGTTTTCTCTTTATGTAATTTCAATGTGTTTAATTTGACTGAACACTTGCTTTAATTTTTTTTAAGGGAGTAGAAGAGGTGAGGTATTTTTGGTAGAGAAAGCACGAATCTGGACTTTTCCTTCACTGAGTTGAAAGTAACCGGATTAGTGCATCCTCAGGCATAAAACGTCTTTCTATGAAAGATGTGTTTTTTCCTGGTGAATTATGCATTGCACTTAATAATTTATGCTTTGCAAGAACAGGAGTTACAGATCCTAGATCTACATATAGTTGTATTCTTTAAAATTTGTTTTCTTAGTGTAAATGTTGAGATAAGAGAGACATATAGGAGAAATCAGAAAAACCATAATAAACATTTGTGTTTCACCTAATGAGAACACTAAAGCTGTTATTTTAGTAGTTTAGCGATGATCTCTGTATCCCTGCTCTGAGACTGATTTTATTTATCGTGGTAAATGAGAATTCTTCCTTTAGGGAAATATAAAAGAAACAATGGCCATGTTCACTTCAGTTCCAGTGGAATATCTGAGTTTTTTTGTTTTGTTTTTTTAAAGCAGATAAATCCTATCATTGTACAGAGAGCCCATGTACAATAAGTCACACTTATCTCTTATTTTCCTTAATGACACGAATAACCTCTAGGGTTGCTGAGTAAACAAAAGTCTTTTCTTTGCTAACGCTGTGAGTCATCTGTGCTAAAGGGCAGAATAGGCCGCATATTGCCACAGAGGGAAAACAGCACTTTCCTAAAAGAACCAACTGCTAACCACTCCGAGCGAGTCAAAGCACTTTCCCTAAAGCAGAATCACAGAAAGTGTTCCCAGGGGGAGCCCACCACGGCTTGACCTGCAGAGTGGCCACACACACACACACACACACACACACACACACGCACACACGAGCATGGGGTGCGAGTTTAATTACAATCTAACAAAAAGGAAAATAGGTATTTTAAAGGATTATCAGATGTATTTTTCACAATGAGTGTGGATAGTGTTATTTAGTTGAGACCTCAGTTATTTGTTTCTTGACTTCACCAACTGGAGTTCAAAATTCAGATAATTCGTAAAGCTAACTAGGAGTCTGCCACTTTTCCTGTAAGAGAAACATGCCATTTTATACGTGATTCTTTAAAGGAAACTTAAATGTTTGCTTGTTCCTTCCTTCCCTGCTTCTGGATTTCTTTTGCTATCTTTCGGTCTCCCAAAGTGCGTACCTACAGTGTATCTTACAGACATTCGCATAAAATTCCTTTGCATCCTTTGAAAACTCACTTCCAATTTAAAAGTAGTTCAGATAGAGCTAAGGGAAGTATTTTTGCACTGACAAGTATAGTATTTGAGAATCATAAAATATGTACAAGATTTAGGAATATATTGGCCTCCTACGTAGCTGTAAATAAGGAGAAAAAATTCCTCAGCTAAAATAATTTATAGTTTCAAATATAGCGACTTTAACATCCAGAGAAATAAAAAAAATTCTTATTTAATATTAAAGAAAATGCTGGGGTTTTGATAAACCACCAGACCTATATAGGAAAGTCTATATTCAGCAAAAAATATCCATCATATTATAATATGTGAACATGAAAAGTCCCATTAGGAAAACTATCCCAATAAACTCTGTGCTGGATATTGTGCTCTGCGCAGGTTTCGCCAGGCAGACCCTTGAAGGAGAGGTAGGTCCCTGAGATACCTCTCTTCAAGGAGCCTTAGCAGATTTGAGAAATAAATCTGAGTTGATGCTTTAATGCAGATCTCCACACTCAGTCCTCTACAACACTGGAAAGGAGAAATTAGTTCCACTCGCTTCATAGCCAAATAGCTTAAAGTTTAAAAAAATATATCTTTCATGCATGGTTTTACCCTCACAGAATAAAAATGGCATAAATATTTTAAAATAGTACTTGGAGAAAGACAAGTTAACCTTTCCCGAGAGTCCACACATCTGCGTCTAGTCCTGATATGGGGCAAATAAAAGAGGCTACTGTCAGAGATAATGGGCCTGGAAAACAGGAGTAGAAGCCTCTGCATTGCAGACAGGAATGAAGACAGGTGGGGACAGGGCTGGCTGGCTACTGGGCTGGGATGTCATGAACATGCAATGAGAACTAGTTTAGAATTCTTTTTTATTAAAATTCTAACAGAAAGTTAAACCCAAAGTAAGATATACTTATTTTTATGCCTATAAAACATGGGTTAAAAGAAAACATGTAACATCTAACATAGTACTCAATATATCAAAACTGGGCATTCAATAAATGGCTCATTCATTTGCCAGGACTTTATAGAGCACATACTCTGAGCCAGACATTAACTAGATCCTGAAAATACAGATATCAAAGATACATTGTGTGCCCTGAGGAAGCTCATAGTCTAGTAGGAAGACAGGCAAACTGACACATTACAGTCTGGGGATTGTTACTTTAGATGTAGGTACAATTTGCTAACCCGGACTAGATTTGCAGGTAGGCATCCCCTGAGGAGGTGCCATGGACCGGTTATTAATGGCATGGAAGGATGAATCCTAAGGAGATGTGCAATGCTTAATAAAAAAGAAGTGCAGGTCCAGGCAGTGGAAAAGTAAGCAGGATGCTTTGGGGGCACACAGGTAACACTGCAGGACTGATGGTGACACCTGTGCGGGGGTGGGATGGAGAAACAGAAGGAAGCAGTGAGTGTCTGGGACAAGAGCCCACAGGGTACCTGCATCTAGGATAACGACACTGGAATCAGTCATCAGGTATTTGAAAGACTGAGGTATGGAAATAGAGACACATTTATCCTATTAAAATATTAATAACCTACCACTAGGATCAGTGGGTGAGAGCCAGAGAAATAAAGACTTGGTTGAGAACATGAAATAATTTTCTGGCAACTGAAGTTATAAAGAAAAAGCAAAACACAGTAATCACGATGATGTTCACAGGGACATGGAACATGGGTTCCTAATTTTTATCGGATATCCTTCATGAGGGAGCTGCTAAAGCAGTAGGAATCTCTTTCTTTTGGTGAATGAGAATGAACTTCCTCCCCGGCTGTGGGGATTCCAGGCCAGGGCAGGCAAGCAAGGGCCCGGCCGCCGGTTCAAACCTTTCTTTCTCCTGCATCCTTATGACACAGACTGTGCAGGGGTGGGGGACGGGGGGGCCAAAAGGAGGTTGACAGTTGCCTTGGGACCTTCTTTTGCGTCAGTAAAGCTATTGTAATAATGACAACCCACATGCCTTTTTCCATATGAACAACTGTAAACCTGCTGTTGCCTAAACGATAGTCGGATAAAAGTAGAATGAATGACTATTTACGTTTTATAGGCGGTGACTTGGTGGTGTCATGAAAACATACGATGAGGCCCCTGCTCTCTGGTCTGGGACTCATATTGTGATTTCATTTGAAACTGTGGGCTGGGGGCTCTCTCAATGTGCAGCTTCCCTGCCTGCGATGACTACCTTCAACTGCAGGGCACCCGCAGCCCAAAAGCTAACACTCATTTACCTCCACGGTGGACGAATACGTGAGCTGGACATTTGTAACTGGGGGGTGTTGCCGTCAGCCCCCCTTGCTTAAGTGCTTAAATGGAGCACGGCAGGTCCCCCCAGGCTTGTCCTGCCTTTCGCTGCCTGGCCTCCCTCCTGTCCCAGGCTTGCTACCTTCCATTTTATTTCTGTAGAAAGGAGAAGTGTTCTCTATTTTTAAAAAAATGGAATTCCCTCTCTTGGACCTTTCCCCTATTAACTTACTTGTATAGATTCTCACTGGCATCATAATTTCCTGCAGATTTATATCTTTATTTCTCAGGCCTTTTGGTTAGTTTGCAGCGAGGGGAACTCCTGATACAAGTATCCATAGTGGAATTATATCACCATCCTATTCATCTAAGAGTCATTCATTTATTGAGCACTCACTTTATTCTAGATGCAGTCTTATGCTCTCTGGACTCAAATAAATAGGTCCCTTCTCTCTTATGATGTAAAATGTAAGTGAAGTGTAATAAGCAGGCTTCTTCCACACATTCATAGCAAGTCAGGCACCGTGTTTGTATCTCGCACATTCAGCCTCAGCCTTCTCCTTGTGTCTCTGTAGGATTTTACCCTCAGGAGTAACATGAGGTCCATCACTCAGTTATTTTTATTATTTGCTACTAGTATGAAAGTTTATCAGTCCTCATAACAATGTTGAAAATTTAGAATATTCCTTTCCTCCTCAAAGTAGTGACATTATTTTATAAATATCAGCACATCAGTCATTATTTTGTGATTCTGGATAGAAAAATTTTGAGCTGTACTCACTCAAATTGTAAAACTCTTGAGTTTTTATATTCATTTTTCAGGTCACTTGATTGAAAGATCTCATCTATCTAAAAAAAGAGAGTTATAAAAAGCATATTAAATTTAAGATTTAAACTTTTGTTTAAACATTTAAATAATAATCTTTATGTTCTGCTTAGAGCTGGGTTAGGATCAATTTCCTTCTCTGTGGTGATGAAGCTTAAGCACCCTGGGCATATTACATTCATTTACTAATATTTTCAAAGTAAGAAAACAGGATCTATGTATCTTTTGGCAAGTAGTTAGTGAAACCATGTCATGAAGTTTTAAACCAGCTGAAGAGAAACAGCCTCTTACCATTTGCTGAAGGTCAAAAGCAAGAACTTTGAAATCCACTGAGAGTTTGTCTTGCAAATTAAGATTGTATGTAGCTCCTGATGTGATTTTCAGTATCCCTCTGGCTTTATACCTTTTTCCAGATACTGCCTCAAATAAAATAATAAGAAATAAAACACTTAAAATGTGAATTATAAGAGAGAACATGCACATTCTGGTTAAGACATAAATTTCTTACTTCATGTGTTCGCACTGTAGTTTTGTTTTTTGCTTTTTCTTTGCGGCCTTCGCGTTTCAAAACCAGCTGATTTTTTCCCTATCTGGTTGTTTTAAAAGATTAAAAATTAAACTTCTTCTCTGGCCTATTTTTTTTTTTTTTCTTTTCTGTTCTTTGAAGTCTAATCCACACCCCAGATTTCCAAGCTTTTCTTCACTGTTGAGATTCTTGTTGGAAAATACAGGGATGATCAACTTCCACCAATTATGATACTGATTCGGGGAAACATGGTGAGAGCTGGACCATTAAAAGTTCTGTAGCTGCTTTCACTTACTTCTGGAACATCTAGCATCCAGGAGCACTGCTGATTTTCTGCATGAGGACTGCTGTGCAGATTTCAGTGTGTGAGTTACTTTGAAACATAGCTTTGAAGCTACTTCTTTCATTCTCATAATTATAAAATTGGCATGTATGACTCTTTGCCATTAGATGGTGGGTATCATTATTAGGGAAGTTATTAAGAATGCTGCAGAAAATAAATTATCTCAATATTTTAAAATGTAAGGAAAAAGCTAACAAATTGAGTATAAACATGGGTACTAAAATGTGCCATTAAGTCCTGCATAATTAGCCAATAGACATATGAAAAAATGCTCAAAAAATTCCTCAAAAAATTAAAAATGGAACTGCCTTTTGACCCTGTGATCTTACTTCTGGGAATATATCCTAAAAATCCTGAAACACCAGTTAGAAAGAAATTACGCACCCCTATGTTCATAGCAGCACAATTTACAATAGCTAAGATCTGGAAACAGCCCAAGTGCCCGTCAGTAGATGAGTGGATAAAAAAAAAAAAAAGCTTGGTACATCTACACCATGGAATACCATGCAGCTGTAAAAAAGAACGACCTCTTAACCTTTGTGACAGTGTGGATGGACCAGGAGAGGATTATGCTAAGTGCAATAAGTCAGTCAGAGAAAGACAAGTACCATATGATCTCACTAATATGTGGAATCTAATGAACAAAATAAACTGATGAAGAAAATGGAACCAGAAACATGGATACATGGAACAGACTGGCTGGTGCCTGAGGGGAGGAGGTGGGGGTGACTGGATAAAGAAGGTGAAGGGATTAGCTAAAGAACATATATGCATGCACCACGGACAAAGACAATAGTGTGGTGAAGGCCAAGGGATGGGGAGGTGGGGGTGGG